AGAGAACTAACTAATTCAGAAAAAGTTAATAAAATCCTACATAGACTTATGATATGAAGATAACTACCATAACAGAGTCAAAAGATCTGAACGTATATTCTATTGATAATATACTTGGATCGCTGATTGCATACTAGCATGGAATGAATCAAAGATGCATTCATGTAGGTGACAAGAAAAAAGAGAAGAATATTTATTTGAAAGTAAATGATTTAGAAAGAGATCAATGAATGCCTGAGGATGAAGAAAATATTTTACTCATGACTAGACAATTCAAAAGTTTTCTTAGAAGAAAGCAACCGATACATCAGCATTGGAACAAAGGTATGCTCTATAAGAATGCAAAAGTTTCTAATAAAGTCATTTGTTATAATTACAGGAAGCATAGATATAAAAAGGCTGATTGCTCAAATCTCAAAGCTAATCCTAGCAAGGAAAAAGTTGAGGAGAAAACTAATGTTAAGAAAAGTAAGAAAATAATGAAAAGAGTTTTTTCGGATGGCCCAGCTTTAGATTCCTTAGAAACATAAGTAGAAGAGGAAGTCATAAACTTGTGCTTAATGATAGATAAACTTTATCATTCATACCAAGAGGTGGTATCTGACTTGTTTTATGATAAATTATTTGAAGTTTCTGAGAAATTTCATAATGCATATAAGAACCTTGAAAAATTGCATGCTAATCTTAACCTTGAGCATTTGAATTTATAAAAAGAGTATGAAAATCTTAGGAAAGATCATGCATCCATAGATAGCAACCATATGACTTTTTTGGATGAATTTGATGATTTGAATAAGAAGCATGATTTTTTTTAAAACATCCTATACTGAACTTTGAAATGATTTTAAGGTGGTTATTACTGAATCAGATCAAAGAAAACATGAGTTGAAAGTTTATAATTTAGTTTTAGAAAGTGCAAACTCACATCTTAAGGAAAAATTAAAAGCTCTTAAGGAAGTAAGACAACTCCCATATTTGAACAATTTTATAAACTTAATCAAAAGAATATAATTTTAAAATCTTGGAAAAGATATTATAAATCACATAGATTAGTAAATCTTTTTCTTGGTGTTAAATTCTTTTCATTTGGAGTAACGGGGCATATTTCCCACACTTACACTATTTAGAGTAGAATATTTAATATGGAGAATTAAGGTGTATAAATCATAGTATATCAAACATGCATCTAGATTATCATTGTCAAGAGATGAACCAAAATTTATTTGGATTCCTAAGTCTAACATTTGATAATTTTGAAGAAACGCTCTCATATAAGCCCTCGTGAGAGCATTTGGTACCTGGACAACAGATGATTGAAATATGTTACTGGAGATACAAGTTTTTTCATATCGCTGGAGGTTAAGGCTGGAAGCAAAGTGACACTAAGAGATAATACAACTTGTAAAGTGGTAGGTACATTTATAATTATTAATAAGAACATTTTTTTTATTGAAAATGTTTTTTTTTTGTTGAAGGCTTAAAATATGACTTGTTACGTATTAGTCATCTTTATGATAGAGGTCTTAACACTAAAGTCTTACCTGCAAGCTGTATTATAAGCCAAAATGGAGTTGATGTGTTACATGGAAAAAGGATAAATAATGTTTACATTCTTGATTTAAATTATGTTAAATCTACTAATGTTTTTTGTCTCAATAATGTCACTGATGAATCTTTGTTATGGTATATAATACTTTATTATGTGAGCATAAAAATCTTAGAAAGATTACCCAAAAAGATTAGAGGAATACCCATATTAGACATAACTAATGATCACCAGTGTGATACATGTTAATTGGAAAAACAAGTCAAGTCCTCCTTTCAGTCAATTAAGGATCTTAGAACTAGAAAACCATTAGAAGTTATTCACATGGATTTATTTGGAACGATTAGTATTATAATTCTAGGTGGAAACATTTTTTGGTATGTAATTGTTAATGATTATTCATGTCACTTGAATTAGATTATTATCACATTAGAGTGAATCATTTGATGAATTTAGAAATTTTTCTACTTGGCTTAAGAGGAAGCTAGGTTATGAAATTCTTTAAATTCAAAGTGATCATGGAGGAGAATTTGAAGATGAAAAATTTGAAGTTTTCTATAAAGAGAAAAGAATATATCACAACTTTTCAACTCCTAGTACCCCCCAAAAGAATGGGGGTTTTTGAATGGAAGAATTGAACTTTGATAGTAGATGTTAGAGCCATGTTGACTAAATATTCACTTCTAAAATATTTTTAGGCTGAAATAGTTAGTATGGCTTGTTATGTTTTATATTGGGTAAATAGTATATCTAAGTTGAATAAGTCATCCTATGAACTTCTTAAGGGAAGAACACCCAACCATTCACTTTTACATGTCTTTGGATGCAAGGTGTTTATTCGTAATAATAGTAAACTCTTTTAGAAAAATTTGATCAAAAATTTTATGAGGGAATTTTTTTAGGATATGCAAGTGTTGGCAAATCCTATAGAGTTTTTAACAAAAAGACCAATAATTAGACCAATGAGTTCCGCAGTGCAGTTGGATAAGGAATCTAAAAGAAAATATATTAATCAAAAGAAATTTAAAGGAATAATTGGATCATTACTTTATTTAATTAGTAACATACTAGATATCATGTTTAGTATTTATCTTTGAGCTTGATTTCAAGTTGATCCAAAGGATTCCCATTTGATTAATATTAAAAGAATTTTGAGATATCTCTTGGAACTCAAAACTTAGGGATGTGGTATCTTAGTCACTTCTCTTCTTTTAAAAGTATTGGATATTCTGATTCAGATTTTGTAGGAGGTAGAGTTGATCAAAAAAGTACTTCTAGAACTTATCAATTCATTGGAAACTCTTTAGTTTCTTTGTCTAGCAAAAAACATAATTTAGTAGCCCTTTCTACTTCTGAAGTAGAATACATTGCCTTAGGTAGATATGTGGCACATGTTCTTTGGTTAAAACAACAACTTATGGATTTAGGATTTTTAATTGGCACAATTCTAGTTTTCTGTGATATTACAAATGCCATATGTGTTTCAAGGAATCCTATTCAACACTTTAGAACAAAGCATATAAATAAGGAACCACTTCATTAGAGACTATGTCACTAAAGGAGAAATTGAGTTACATCATGTAGCTACTAAAAATCAACTTGCATATATTATCTTAAGAACAATATTCGATGTTATTGATATTCATTCTTGCAATTTGTAATTCAGCAAATTCCATTTGTGATGTATCTTTTTGTTGATGTTTATGTTTTGTTTGTTGTTTATGATTTGTCTTTGTTTGATTTTTATTTTTCTCTATTTAGGGTTTGATTTATCCTTTGTATTATTTTTTTTGTGTGTCTTATGGATCTTGTTGGACTACTTCTTGGAAAAAAATCAAGATTATCATGTGCAAATCTAAAAATTCATTTTCTAGTCATACTATATGAGCCACTTTCGTACTGTACAAAATCAATAGATTTTATATGATAAGTTTTTCTAAGTTTGTAAGATGAAAATATGTTTTTGTAAATGTATCGGACTGCATGATAACATCATCGTACTGTACAAACTATTTATTTTTTATCTGTACGAATAGGGAGGGAAGTTTAGGTGAAGTTATTTTTCAAATATTGTTTATACAAACACATGTTCGTATGCATGACCTTGCTGTCAATTTGTGTGCGGATGAACCTAACTATGACTGTATGGTCTTTATTGCCCAATCATCTTAGATAAACACATGCTCTTCTGTACGATCATTTTGGTCAAAAAATTTATACAACACAACTCCTCTGGAATTACAGTTTACAAAAAGTCATTTCATTTTTAGTCATTTTCATTCATGTTTATTAAAATCATTTCATCCCATATGAAATCATAGTCGTACGTACGAACCTTATTTTGTACTGTATGAATGTGTTGATTTCTTTAAATTTAAAGGTATTCATTGAGTTTTCTTTGCAATCTCTTTCATTTACAAATCATCTTGTGTTCAAAACTATCCAAATGGCAAGTAGCAGCAATAAGCAAGCTCGACATTCTAGAGGTTGTTCCTCTCATTCTAGTTAACTATATGGTAACTTCCTTTCTAAAGAAAATGAAGAAGCCTACCAGCATTTCTTTGAGGCAAAAATCACTCCATCTCGTCTTCTTATCAAAGAAGATAACAAGTTTTCTAAAATGCCTTTTGATTTTACTAAATTTCCTTCATTGTTACCTTAATCTATGCATTCCATTCTGAAACCTTTTACTATTTCCTTGCTAATATGAGAATGAGAGAAAACCATACAAAAATGTCTTCATATGAGTTTAAAGAGAGGGTTGAAATCACTAATGAGGATTTAGGCAATTTCTTACATCTTACAACTGAAGGGTTAAGGGCACACACTATGACTTCAAGAGCTATTTTTTATTGTTCTACCATAAATCAAACCATTAGAGTTGTTCCTTTAATGTATCACTTATCACATGTGTATTCTTTGAATCAAAATGCCAAGATCATCCAGCCTATTTTGAGAACTTTATCTATCAACCTCACTCCCTTTCTTTCTTTTGTCACATATCTTATAATGTCAAACACTCCAATTAATAAACCCCAATTGATTCTTGACTACATCAATAATCTTACTGATATTAGACTTCCTACGACTAAAAGCAAGAATAATATGGCTTTATGACACTTGATCATATATATCCTTGAAAAGAAATACAATTTAATTCATCCTAATCCTCCTGCTCATCTTCCAATCTATTTCACTGATGCTTCACAAATATATTTCATAATAAATTGACCATGGCTCTTAATGGAAATACAATTGTGATTAATTTAAATTTAAGATAAATATCTACGTGTGCTCAACAAATATTACAATCAAAAGCATGCATCAATCATTTAATACTTCTGCTCTCAAACAAATTAAGGCTATATAAGCGGCCTACTCATTTTTCAATATTCTACTTAAGCAAATACTTGATTAAAACTGGAATGTGAATGTTAATCAAGTAATCATCCCATTAAATGTGCTTGGGATCACAATCAAACAACTTCATCTCATCATTATTCTCCATTGCCTTTCTCAAACTTTCTAAGTTAGAATCATCAAAGCTGCAGTCAATCACAATATTGAATAAGAATATTGTCGATATCTCAAATATAACGAATATAATTATTTATTACTCATAAGTCATAAACTTGATCTTGCCTTCCTTTAAAGAATGTATATGGCGCATAGATATCAGCAAGGTGGACCACAAGCTTATATTTCTTCCAATATGTGTTGAATTGTTGAGTAAACAATCCAAAAAGAGCTAGATTTATCAAGCACAAGCCCTAAATAGGAAGCCAAAACACCAAAGTATATTGTGTTAACTACACACCCTTCAATAATAAGCTCAAGTTAAAATCACATATCAAGAATTACATACTATATATATATAGTACAAAAATTCTAAAACGGAAATAGAGTTTACCTCAAGAGGTAGGCGATAGTGAAGAAGCATGTATCTATGAAAAATTGGCATTGTTCTAATGAAGTGAAATTTATTTTCCTTGATTTCCTTGCCATCGCAATTAGTCTGAGGGTATTTCATTATATATTGGTTGACACATTTTTCTATTGTGGAATGTTTTACCAAGTTTCTTACAAATGAACTCACATGATATATGACTTCTGAATGTTGATTTGAATGTGTAGCTAATGCTAAAATCATGGCATTAACCACCATGTCTCCAGGAATCTATCAAAGTTAGCATGCTTGAATAAGTTATAATAATAGAGCTAATTTTGTCTAGACATTGTGATATATTATAGGTGTGTAAATTTGCCTTTATTATGTATATGTAACCAATATTTCATGTAAGGCAGTATTATATCATTATCAATAGCTATATATATATATATATATATATATGCAAATAAAGATAACTAACCAAATCTGTAACTACTTCTAGATCTCCTAAAATGCATAAAATATCTCCTTTTGCATAACCAAGTATTACACTGTCAATTGTCCTACAACATTAAGTGAATGTTGACTTAGATCAAGAAGCAAATGTTAACATACAAAAACACGGGAAGGTATATATGCACTTACCTAACTCCTTCTATCCAACCTGGTAATGAGTCTTTATAGACACTTGTTATAATTGTTGGGTGCATGATAACTAGTGGCTTCTCTCCTCTTAAATGACCTAAAAGCATTTCTCCCATGGCCTTTGTAAATACATAGGTGTTTGGCCAGCCATACATTCTAGCCCTACAAGAAAAAATAAAACAACTTAGTAGCTTAAGATAGCATAACCAACAAACAATTAATTTGGATAGCTTATAATAACATGGCAAAAGTGATAACAAAATATTATTTCAAAGAGGTTGTATAGTTTATTGTTTTAAGAAGAAAAATTTCATCTATATAACATTATTATTCAAAGAATAATATTGCTTATCAAATGCAATATTTTTTATTTACTACTAACTAAACCTTAACAATCTTTAAATATGTCAATGATAATTATGATTTTTTTTTCACTAATAGCTTGACCATTGATGCCATTAGATTATGGTGCCACATATATGCTGACATTTAATTGCAAAATATCATTTAAGAAAGTATAACTATAACATGTCTAAAAAACATTATATATATATATATCAACCTAAAGGGATGTCCAACCTTTGTATTCCCAATTCCTTCATAGCAATTTTTTCAGCTTCTAATGTTGAATGTTGCTCATGGAGTTCTTTCTTCATATATTCAACATGCCTTAGCTCCCCTTCGATATCTAAATACAAATCCTTATTAAGTGCTTTCCCAAAGTGAAATGGCTTCTCTGATATTATACCTTCTTTCGTTCCAGCTACATAAGCTGATCAACACAAATATAATAAAATATTATTGAGACTTGCAAAGGTCATTTAATAGAAAATTATAAAACAAGTAATGATATTCACAAATTAATTTTAATAATTCATCATAATTTATATCAAATGGTTAGCATTAATTAACCTGTTGATACATGGAGAAGCATATGGACTTTCGTGCATTGCTTTGCAAACTCTAAAACTTGCTTTGCTCCTAAGGTATTGATATACAAAGAAACATCATATCTAGAAAAGATACACACAAATAAAATTAATAAAATAATAATAAGAGTTTTATGGTAATATTAATTAATCTCAAATTCTCTCCATGATATTTGAAATATTAAAATTTTAAATACCTCTCATAAAAGTTGGCACTTCCAGCCACATTGACAACAATGTCAATCTCCTCCCATAACCTTTCTCTAAGATTATAATCTTCAATCCCTAAATTTTCATAAATAATATCTCCTGCAACTGAATAAACCATCTTGGATATAAATGAATCAATGTCCGGCCCATGTTTCTCTTTAAGAACATCAAAAAGCTCCTTTGCAAACACCTAATTAAGGAAGTGATTATTCATTCATATTGTAACATTCTAATTATTAGTAGTGCTATGGAGCAAAAATTATAATTAATAATAATTAGCGAATAGTATGCTTAGTATTAGTAATGCTAGTGAGGCTTTAACCTTTAATTTTCTATTATAACAGTTTTTAATAATTTCATATTTTTCAACATATAATTCAAAATTTAGCAACATTTTTTTATTTTTAAACTAAAAGCATTGGTATAACTTGCAGTCCTTCACCAAGCTAATTCAGATGAAATTATACACATAGTATATAATTTCCCCTAAAATTACAAAATTACCCTATCTATGTAACCTATTAATAAATTTCCATAAAGAATAAACCTTGATAACAAGTCACGTGAAGAGCTAAATTTTATGTTCAAATTTTGAAATTTGTTAACTAATCACTCAAATCAACACACAGACTCTCTTTCTCTCTCTATAAATATTTTATAACAATAATAGGTTTGTCTTGAATCTATGAAATTTTGATTTAAAATTGACCAAGCTTCATAAACCCAAGCCTTGTCAGCACAAAGTCAATTTTTTTTTTATTCAGGCCTTTATCAACCCATTTGAACTCGAGTCACAATCGCGTCTAACGGCTCAATATGATCAATAATGATAAAAATTAAAAAGATAGTTTTACCTCATTTTGCATGCGCTCTGTAGCCAACTTGGCATCCCCTGTTCTCACAAGAAGGAAGAGTTTCTTCACATTAGGTTGAACTCTAAGAACCCTCTCCACAAAGACTTCAAACCAAGCAACAAACAACAACATGTGTTAGAACTACAACTTTCATCTTTTGAAAGTGAGACTGGCTCTGTTTGGGACGACTTTCTTACAGCTTCTTAAAGTACCTTTTTAGTATAAAAATTAAAATTTTTGTACTAAAAAACTTCTTTAAAAAGCAGGAAGAAAGCAGTCTCAAACGAAGCCTAAAACAAAATATCATGTTATTTAACACATATTAATAGATGAAATGGTTTGTGAGATAATACTCTTTGCTAGAAAACCAATGGCACCAGTGACAAAGATGCTCTTATCCTTGAAGTACTCAACTATACTACCTATCTCCATCATGAGCCAATAGTTTTTATATAAAAACTATCAACAAAGAAATATAAGGAATCAAAGAGATGTAGATTTAAGAGAATTTCCTTAGGCATTTATTTATATACAAGATGGGATTGCATATGCATATGTCCAAGAGATATCCTTTTCTTAAAGTGATAATTAATATGGTCATAGGTTGGCCTTGTATTATTATTATTATTATTATTTCTTTTTTTTTTCTTTTTATTGTAAGACATCAATTCAAGCATATTTTTTTCATACTATATATATATATATATATATATATATATAAATCTTTTAAAAAAAGTTATTTATCTTTCCTAATATTTTGAATTGCGTTAAACTCATTATATTTAAAGTTCTTATGAGAGCATTCAAGGCATGCCTCTATTCTTTGAAATCTGTCGGGTTCTCTTTGTTCAGAAAGAAATACATTCTATATAATTAAGGCTTCATTTGCGACAGTTTTCTTATTGTTTCTTAAAGCAGTTTCTTAGTACAAAAATTTAAATTTTTGTATTAGAAAGTTGCTTTAAGAAGCAGAAACAAAGCTGTCACAAACGAAGCCTAAGCCTCTTGTTGGTAGTTATACTTACATAATGCAATAGGATTACTTAAGAAATTATCGTATTTATGAAATTGAAGAAAATAGCTCTAATCATATCAAAGGAAACAATATGGTGATTTCATATCATAAGGACGGAGCCAAAATCTGTTATTAGCGGCGGCATAAATTAATGATATTTAAAATACTCTTTCTTTTTTTTGGATAATTTTTTTTACCTTTTAATTTAATAGTTTATATGAAATAATTTTCCGATCATTCAATATCAATATTTATTTTTTATAAATTATTAAATTAAAAAAATGTATTAGTTGTTTAACATTAAAATCTACTTTTTTTTCTTTAAATGTTTAAGTATTACTGTTATTAAAAAAGAAATTTATAATGTAACCCGGAGATTGTTATCCTACTATCGACAATACAGAAATATAGTTTATTAGATTATCAACTTTAAAATTACTGTCAAAAGATATTTGAAATTTAAAATTTTAAGGAAATCATATATTATACAAAAATATAATCTCATCGGTAACAAATTATTCTAATTTATTAATAATCAAATTATTATGCATTAAAAATAATAATTAAAACTTATATTATTTATTATAAAATAGTTATCAAATACAATTAGATTATATAATTTTTAAAATTACTACTCATAATGAATTACATTAGTAATAATGTAATATTAAAGAAATCTGATCTTGGTATTACTTGTAGTTGTAATATGCTGTAACTAGGAGAGAAATGAAAGTTGAACAAGGGAAAATAGAAATAACTATAGTAGAAAAGTAAAATCAGAGGAAGCTTAACTATGGCAAACATATTTGGCATAACTTTCCATTGTTTCTCACCCCTTTACTTGTTTATTGTAGCTCATATATAAAGGTTTTAATACTGAGCACTTGTGCCAGATAGAGTGGAATAGCTTTAATGGTGTTGAGTTGGTTTCAAAGAAAGCTCCTCTTGGTCATGAGAAATTATTTTGTGCGGACACCGGATCGTCTGGAAGCGAACCAGAACATGCCACGTCATCCGGTACACAGCCACGAAACACAATAAAAATGTGACGTGACACGTTCTGACTCATCTTCGGATGGCGTCTGTATCCACACAGAAAAATTTTACCTTGGTATGTACTAATGGAATGTCATTGTTATTTATTATATAAAAATAGTTATTAATCATAGTAATTAATTTATTTCCCTTCCCCTCCTCCATTCACATTCAAATTACATGATTCCATCTCCTCAAGTCAGCCTCATCTCCGCTCAAGACCTCTTCCACTCTTTCAGTTCCATGCACACCTACACCGTCATTTGGCTCCACCATGGCTGCCACCGCATTTTCACCTTCCTCAACCCCATGGGCCAAATTGACCCTACCTGGATAGACAAGTTTGCCTTCAGGCCAGTGGGAGTATGTGCCCCCAGTGCCTCCATCGTGGCTCTGCCACTGTTCATATGGCTATATATGTGTAAACTCTTTAGTTCATATAGCTATATTTTTCATCCTCACAGTCACAGCTTTTTGAATAGAACTATTTTTTAACCAAACACCACACAAAAAAAGATAAATTTCTACTACAATAATAATAAGACATTTATAAATAAGTGCCTAAAATTCTTCAAGTCAAAAAGTTATCAACAAAAATGCAATTTGGCTTTAGTATAATCCTGTGTGCAATTGTTTCTGCAATTATAGTGCGTTTATTTCTCTTGCACAATATGTATTCTATATGGCTCAAATTTTTTTCTAAATTTTTTATATGTAGGAATAATCTTCTTATATTTTATTTCAAATATCATAGAATTTATAATTAAAAAGTTATTACAAAAAATTAACCAAAACGAGTTAACGGGTCATATTTTGGTTAGTCTTTTTGACCCATTTATTAAACGTGTTAGGTTCGGGTTGACTAGTTTTGGTGCGGACTCAAGCCTTACTTCTCAACCCATTAAAAAACTCCTAATAAGAAGTTAGAGTTCCCATATCTGATATCTGATCAATGAAGATGCAAAATCTAGATATATGTAGGATATTATGACTAGGGTGAGAATTGTAGACCTCCGAAAGAAACACCGTTGTACAGGGGATAGAGTACAGAGGAGTACTACCCCACCATCCCGAAGGATGAGATGATCTCATGCCTTTGCACTCTTCGTAAGCGGGCTAATAAAAGGGCATATTAGATCATACATATGATTAACCATTAAGGATAGAGGCTCTCGTTCACGCACCTCGATGGGTAATAATATGCACGACCTGATCGGAGTTACGAGGTTTTCCCCACCCGATACAATAGCTCGAGTGGGGTTTATTTGATGTGGGATTCGGTTTCCCACTGGCGCAACCCCAATGGTTAATTACATCTTAAGCCGGGGCATAAGAAAACTCTCGATTAAGGATTCTATATTATTCTTTTAAATGGGATTGACACATAGTGAGGAGACTAGGAAGTTCCTACTCAAATGGAAAGAAAGGGTTCAACTCGTCTTAGTCAACATACACAGCTCACATCAACATTCAAAGACACTAAAACAGTGAGAAGAAACTGGAGAAAATAAATAAACAATACACTCAGAGCATAAAAGAGAGAAGAATGGATGTGACATCATTCATGTGACGCGGATAGGCAGGATTTATAGCCTCTTGAAAGAAAGAAGAATTACCTGTCAATGAGGCATACTATGAGACACCAATAGTAGTAGCCTTGAACCCTAATTCTAGAGTAGGTTTAGTGTTCTACACCCAACACTAACAATTGTGTCCTAGCTAATGCATCCAGGACTTATATCCTACCTAAAAAGAAATGCCAGATAACTATCTAGTCGTATAAAATCCATGTTATCCAATCTTTATGAAAGATAGGTGAGTGGATAAGTTTTGAAAATTAAGGCCAACATCTAGTGAGTTTTCCTAGTGGCCTTGTACTTATGTGGGGTAGAATGCTTTTAAAACTAATGCAATTAAATTTTTAATTTAATTAAATATAATACATGCTAGTTGAAATCTTCAAATCAAATATACTTGAAATTTTAAAAAAGCTTGTAAAAATAATTTTTTTAGAAAGACTATGTTTCCCTAGGTCCGGCACTTCATCTTCATATGTTAGATTATACGGACTCTACCCGCAGGCAGGAAAATATCTTAAAGCAAGGAGAGAGAAGATGCATTAATATGTATGCGACCTAGACAATTCTAACTATTCCCTAGATTTTTAGATTTTAATGTTATTTAATTCTTAAAATTTTATATCTTAGTTATGAGTAGAAAAAATTTATCCCTAAAGAGCCTAGTAAAATTAGGCGCACACATATGCAAGAAAGAAACCTATGAAAAGTAGGCAATTTCTATGATGCAAGTAAAGTAAACACATCAATACAAATAAAATCAATAGAGTAAAAGAAAGTCCAAAAGTCCATGATAAGTGTCATATAAAGTATAACCGAAGGTCTGCAGAAAAATAATGATGGTCAGGCCCCACCGATAACAACTTGGATTCTAATCCTATGCAATGACGTAAGTCTTAAAAATAAGGCATTTCATCTTTATCTTCATCTTCTGGTTCTTCTATGGATCGCCTTCCTTTGGTCTTCGTATGGTTCGTCCTTTAGAAAGGGTACCCAAATGAAAAAGAAATTCCCCGTGAAGGAACTTTCTTTTTTCCTTTGGATCACTGGTATTTGAAGTGCCTTATTTTTAGAAACTTTCACAACTCGATACATCAAATTACAAATTACATTAACCTTTGAGATAAATTCACTATGGATGTTTGACATATTAGAGATTCTTTATTAGTGTTACTCAATGATGTTAACCTGCGCATTGGAGGTTGGGAGAAATTATCCAAAGATATTTGACTAGTTTAATGTTATTTATTAGAGTGTTACTCAACGCATTAACATGTAAGGAAGAGGTTGAGGGAGATCTAATGGGATGTTTGACCTATCTAAGATTATTTTCCAAAGCATTTTATAATGGCATTAACCTGTGTGGAAGAGTTCAAGGGAATCCACCAAGGATGTTTGACTTATTTGAGATTATTTTTTAGAGCATTGTTGATGATGTTAACCTGTGTGAAAGAGGTCGAATTGAATCCTCTTGGGATTAATTATGTCTTGATTGGGAGGGGCGAAGGCTGCATGTATCCCGAATTAAATGTAAAGATTAGTTTATCATTAGACCAATATTACCTTTTTGAGGTCAAGGGTAGTTGAGGACTATATAATGCAATTCGCTTTAAGTTGTCTTGCATTTGTTGGAAGCTATATGATAGATAGTTTATATCAATATTATTTTTTCATATAAAACAATATTAGAGGGACTTACTTGACCACAACCGTATTTGAGATTATAATCGAGGTTTTCCCCCTGTAGTCAAAATTGACTTCCCATGAAATTGATACAATAATGGCTATTGGTTGAGAGGTGATAA